CTTATATTTGTGCAATAATCAATATGACCTTCTAATAAACGATTTTTGCAGTACACATGAAAATATTCATCACTAAATTATTTTATCTTAATATGAGTAGTCGAAATCACCAATAAATGAATAACTTGTTTTTACGCCAACAATATCAGTTCCCTCCAATAAACAGTGGTGCCTAATTTGAAGACATGGATTCAGCTCTGGCTGTGTATTTTTTTGAAACTTTCGGCTTGTCGGTCTTCGGGAGGGGGGATGCAAAAAAATTTTGTTCAGCTTCAGAACTCAGGCGTCGTTGGTCGATACTTCATTTGTTGCTGCTTTTCCCTCGAATTGCTCCTCTTGAAAGAGTTCTTTATTGCTTCATTGATCATCCCGTCTATACAACATTCATCAAGCAATTAACTCACATCTATGCACATGAAATAATGCGTGGAATAATACCATTTCTTGTGAACTTATTCGTTAATAAATAAGGTAAATGAACAATTAAAAATAATTGAGCAGTTTGTTACAAGATGGCAATTTAACTGCTCATTTTCGATGGTTTAGACTAGTTTTTATCGTGTTCACTTCTTAAAAAAGGGCAACAATGCTGAACAGATACGGCTCAAATGTCCTATAAAGCAGGAATGATTTCAGAAGGCTCACAACTTTGAACTGTTCAAAGGCAGATGTCTCTGCAGAGGAGTGTGTTAGGTTGAGAAAAAGTGTTCTTTAGCACTTTCAACTTTTGCGGGTTGATGCTTATCTGAGGTTATCGATGAGCGTTCCATGGAAACGAGCCTGAAAGCCACACTTTCATGAAATGCTTGTGCACATCACGATTGTAAGCTGGCATATGGGTCACAGCAGTCGGTCAATCACTATGAGGTGGATGTCATCCCGAGAAAGAACCTGTATGGTATTAAGAAGAGAACCAAGTAAGTCATATGATTCACATCAATCAAAAGAATAGATGTCTCATATGACCGTTCAATATTATGCAAATCAAATACGCGAACAGCTTCAATATTATTTTTCAACGTTTAATATCATCGTGCAAATAAATCGTCTATCGAACTGATCATTTTCACAATCGCTAAGAAAAATTTCAACAGAATCCAATGAAGTTATTGTAATATGTTTGAGGTATTTGCAACAATGAGACAATCAAAAGAAATCTAACAAAATCATAACAAAAAATGCTTTTGCAATATGCACAATGAAATATAGTTTTCGGAAAACAATGCATCGCATAAATTTTATATGATTTTCGTTAACTATAACAACTAGCAATCGAATCATTCCTTCGAAAGACCTCCGAAAAAAAAACGATAAAATCAATCAACAAAAACTAGAACGATCAACATTTAAAGTGTATGAGATCAATAATGTATTCATATTTAAACTATGCACATCAATAGTTTCACTACAATATATGGGAACGAGCTTGAAAGCCGCAGTGCGAGTTTAATTTTAAAAAATACAGATTTAATTTCTTAAGTTTACTTGTTTCTCAATTTTGCCTACTTAAAGTTACTAAAAGTTAATGTTTAATTTCGGAAAACAAAACATGTACGTTTAAAGTACTGATTAAAGCCCTATCGGCTAATTCGACTGAGTGGTTGTTCATACAAAAAGGCTGAAGACTAACGCGAGCAGAAACTTTCAAAATAAATGAACATGTTTCATTATTTTTTTAGAACAGCACCATAAAGTACCACAAATTGAAACTGTAAACGACATGATTTTAGAAACGAATCAGTTGGTTATATAGGATTAACAGATTAGATTCTGGCGGCTGCTACAATGGCCGCCTAAGGATCCCAACTCCGCTGTTCTTTTCTCGAGTGAACAATCGCTTCAAAGCAATTTGATAATCACGATTGAAAACCTGAAATGATTCAGAAGTCATATCGGAAGAAGTAATCTTGGAGAGAAAACGTTGTGCGCTACTCACAACCAGTGACACTACTGAAAGAATGAACTGAGCACGTACCGTGTAAATGATTGGATTCATTGCCGAGTTACTATATCCCAGCCATGTTATAAACATCTCAATATGAGGATTCAATGCACAGCTTGAGCAAAATTGTACGACTACATACATTCTGAAATCGAATAATCAATTTTACTCATACAAATGAAATGATGGTTGGTATGTTTAGCAACTGATCGTTATCGTCTGTCTTTTCTCATTACTGAAAATTTCTGTTTCTCGCCTCGTTGCTACTTTCAGTCTTCTATGAAAATTTTCACTCTTCATTCCAACGACAGATTCTTACGTCTGATGTCGTTTCATCGGAAGCTTTACAGGGAATTTTAACTGTAAGAAAAATGATTTCGAAAAAATTTAACTATAAACACTGCGTAGAATATACAAATGACTACTTACATGAAAAAAGGCGTCCAACAAATTGTAAAGCAACCGAGGATAATGCCTAATACTTTCACACCACGTCGCTCCTTTGCCGCTGAAATCGCTTTCGGTTTCTGTTGTAAACTTTTCCTATAGCTACGTTCCCTTCTGCAATTAATACGAATCACTGTTGTAGAATGACAATCTTGAAGCGACTGCGACGGGAAGCATGCCGTTTGAGATGACGTTAGAGTACTATGAGAATTTTTGATGAATGTCCTCGCAGTGCGCTTTCTTAATCACTATTGCTAATTGCACACAACTGATTAGCAGTTTAAAATTATGTAACATCTTTATCAGTATTTTCAGAAAACAAAAGGAACATCAACAAAGAGCAACAGGAATATCAACAGTGTTTCTGCATTTGAAAGCATATGCTATTGCAATTATTATTATCATTATTAATCCGACATTTAGAGAATCGGTAAAGTCACAACGTCGACATTATCCCATGGTAACCTTCTGAAGGTTCTCAAGTGTGACTAATTTGAGTCAGATGATGATCGTATCGTTTGGAAACTCAAACGGCAACACGAAATATCCACATTCTGACGCAAACACTATAGAAGCAGCGCGACAGGCAACAACATTCATTCACCTGCCGTAGGATTCAGAAGCATTCATACATTGTTTTTGCTTCACGATTAAAAAATCATCTGTTTGAAGAACAATCTGAACGGAAATTGTTCCGAGATATTAACAATAACATGTCAATCATTCAAATTGACCTAATATGCGATTTATTCACGGATACAGCTTCGTTGTTAACTGTACCTAAGCATGTCTTGCTAGGAATTATTCGAAAGTAGTATCCTACGGCTCGATTGTAGAAACCAACTCGTCTCAACAATTCGTTGCAGAGCAGAAATGAGAATTTTTTTTGGTGGTTGATAACTGTAGTCGGGCTTATGATCAAATTCGTCTGCGACGAAACTCTCGGTCAAACTGGCGATTAGTTGCACATCGGTGAATAGCTGTATCTGTTTTTGTGATAAATGACGAGTACCTGTTCTTATGATGTTGCACTTTTTCATATGTGATCGCTGAAGAAGTAATCGTACTTCTTGTTGCACTGTTATGATCATTCTTTCGGAATGCAACACATCTCTCAGATGCATATCGTCGCAAATGTTTCTTGTTTGTTTCCCTCGAAGATGCACCAGCAATGGATCGATTTAATGAAGACCCTCGATTTATTGCACACTTTTGTTGTTGTTTCCGTAAGCCTGTTGATATTTCCGTCCAGTGAGTAGCAGAACTGGTGGTAGTAGCAGTGGCAGTATCCTTAAATAGATTATTCCTCAAGAAACTTAACATAAACAAAGCCACTTATGCCTAATTTTCCATGAAGTTACCAATAATCTGATGATGAAACAATTTATTCGCTTTTTGAATTGATGATGAAAATTGTGGGATGCCAATAAAGAAGTGCTCCACTCCTTTCAAACTATCACATGCATACAAGCACATGCAAATGCAACAAATTTTCCGAACACAAACAACTACATACAACGTATAAAAGCATTCATTCATAATTACTTTTCCGCCTACTAGACGTTTATTGCTGTAAGTTTTCGGTGATGATGTATTACGCTGCGCATTTGGGATGCAACGTCTATCCTTACGTCGTTCTACGACGGGACCATTACGCGGCGCATCACCGTTACGAGCGGCATGACAACTCGATCCTGAATGCTTGTCTGCTTGCTGCTTAATGTCGCATACAGAAACCTTACGAATACGAAACCCCTTGATGCATTCACGGCAGTTCAATTTTAAAAAATTCTGGATTAATGCATTTAAGTGAAGAAATGATTCTGTTGAAGTGATTCACAGTTATTATCACTATAACCATTATCATCATTAGTGCATTATTGTCCTGTCCCCTCATATGCGAACCTATCCATACCCAAACGATTGAATAATAATAAGATTAGTGATTATATTAAACCACTTGACAAGCCGATTCAAGCAACGAAGATAAGTGATTGGTCTAATCTAGTGAGAAGCTATTCTTACAAATTTCCCTCACTCCTTTTCTGCTGAACAGACTGATTTTTTGGTTAATGCTGGCTGGCGATGAAGATTTTTTTAAACGTACGTCAACTGACAATAGTAGGAAGGTTGTTCAATACTGGTATCACTAATGCAGAAAAATATCTTGATGAATTCGATAGCATAGCTAAAATAGAAAACCTATACCTTGATCAAATTTTCAAAAGTGATGAGACAAGCTTCAATTATTGAATATTACAGCAGAAAGATCTAACAGCTCATATACAAAAAGACCAAAAGTTGCCATTACATTGCCTTATTTGACATGACAATTGCTTCTAGTAACTTGCCGAAAGATTTAACCCAGATTGCGCTACGAGAAAACGCTAGTAAAGCAGAGGAACATTGAACATTCTTCTCTTTCTTAAAGCATTTGAGTAGACGACCGAGAGAAGCGGTTGGTGGGCTGAACTTAAATTAAATTCTCATCCCTCCGCCTAATCAATGTGCTACGCTCAATTAAGGTTCGACAAACTCAGCTTGGCAAATGATTTCCGTTATTCGAACACCTTTTTTATCCGAACGGATGCAAGTCTCAAAAGGAAGAATAGACTATTGCATTAGTACAGTATTATCATTATAAGTTGCAATAGTCAGGATAAAAACGCACCACTTGCATCATCGTCATCATCATCGTCTTCATCTTCTTCCTTAGCGAATTCGTCACTTGTTGGCATCACATGACTAATTTCATGTAGAATTGTCGATTCGATGTGCTTTTTTATCACCTGAAATAAAGTGATTTAGTTCAGCTGAGGAAGGGAATTTGTATGTTTTTAGCTAGAACATGGGAGAGATGTTGTTTGACTGATGTGCAACAGAGGAAAAGACGACTGGTGCTGTTGCAGCTGAAAATAAATGAAACGGTAGTGGAAAAGGGATGATTCTAACTATTTGTATGTTAAACATTGCGGAGCGAAACATTGTGAAGAGAATGCAGAAATGCCACCATCTACACAGGAAGTGCTTTAGTCATCGATTAAATCAGGCAACATTCGAAAGTTGTCTTAATCGAAATCATATCAAATTTTGCTGATCTAGTGAAATTATAGATGAATAAATAGATGTATGGATGGAGGGATAACAATTGGCGTACGAGAACTGTATAAGTGAATTGGATTAAAAATTGATCGGAGGTGACCAATGATAAAAGGTTTTGTTCATAGATTGAAAGAATACTTCTTTAATAGTGGCTAAATGATAGCATCTACACACTTAAATACGATGACATTACTTTGTTATTAGATGTGATAATGTGCATGTGGAATGATAGCAATACAACTATCTACCGTAACAATAACTACCACAATAGAACTTTTTGGCATTTTCAAATGCTTCGACCAACACTGTGAAACAACCAAGCTTCACTAACATAAGCTGCATATATTTGGAATTTTTAAATTTAATGATAACCATCCTTGCCCCACTGATTTTCAAGCTTTAATCGTGAGCATACGACAGATTTGTTATGCTATCTAATTACAGCATTGCATTTGACCACCAGAAGCAACTAGTCCCAATTTATTTAATTGTGATGTCTTGATTTGACCCTTACTTCACCTAAACAACAGCTAAAAACCTTAACGTTCAACAATTGTGGAACATTTTCAAAAAATTTTTTACAGAATTTCCTAAGAATTTTTGCATCCATCAATATGCTTGTAGCGTTTCATAGTGTGCATGACTGGGTGAACGAACTCATTATTTTTACAAAAAATAAAAGAAAAGAAAATTATCCACTACCCAATGTTTATAAATTATTCAATGAATGCTTGTAAATTTCTTCACGTTTTTCTCGCTGAATCATGTTCCACTGCAATGCAACGAACTATATTGCAGAGCAGTCATAATCGCAGCACGCGGAAACACGTACTACGAATGAGGGGAACAAGACTGATTTATCATGATTCAACTGAAGTGCTTCTTACTGAAAAATTCTTAGCACACATTTGAAATAAATTTGCACAGTATCATGCATATATAATATATCACCTAGTGCTGTTTCACTAAACACTTGCGTTCAGGGAGATTTGTTAAACAGCGAATGTGATGACGACAACAACTAGAGCACATCAACGTATTTAGATGTGGGTGCTGTGGTTTAAAAAAATGGTATGCATTTAAAACGTATCATTCAAAAAGCACGAAATAATTGCTTACATGTGATGAATCAGCCAGCTAAAATCAATTTCGTGGTGAAGCATTAAATTCAAACTCTTATTTCGATTAGCAAATAAAAGAAACTCAAACGTAGAATTCTCCGTCAAAGACATTCATCCAGAAACAGATCGTTTCGAGCCTACATAATATTTTCTATTGCTCAAAACTAATAAGAATGGAATTGAGATCGTCTGAAATGTTCTTCTTTCTTTTTTTGGAAAAAAATATTCAGAATCAATGTGAATTTGAAATAACCATACACTTGTTGCAAATGCAATTATTCGTAAGGAAATTTCTCAATGAAAAACAACTGCAACAATAAATTGCACACAATAATCTGACACCCAACCCCTAAACATACGGACAATGCCTATTCAATAGCTCATGAAACCTTATTCTGTGATGAAGAATTCATTGGTTTCTAATAATGAATTCAGAATTCATCAGTGAAAATATTATCAAGGAAATTTGCCTAGAACTACATTCTAAGTGGAATATGCTTGATTGTTTGCAAATAAACAGTACCCTAAGATACCTCCGGAGGCACAGTAAGCTTCATATATCATAATTCAATCGTGCTGATGATGTATGGTGGTGTTCCTCAATTTTTCAAAGTATCACTTGCCCCTTTTCGGGTTTTTACTTCTTCATTACGTTCTTATTTCAGACTTCTTTTTCTGATCACATCGCCATTTAACGGACTCCACAAAAACAATGGCTCAGAGAGATCCTTGAACTCGATGTGTGAACAAGTGCCCACTAAAGGTCCATTTAGACAGTATGCTATTGCACGAGGTTTATATTTGCGTTATTTCACTACCGTGTTTGGTTGCCTATCACTTCCCCACCAATTTTCTACTTGCGCCTCACCTCCCTCCCTTAGAGGCCTTCAGCTTAGAGCATAACTATAATACGTTGATCACTTAATACAAAACGTGACCACACACATCGCACACTCATTTGTGATACACATTTAGGATTGATCACCGCCATCTATCTAACTAGCAAATAGTAACGAATCGTTGTTGACCTTATTCTGATTAGTCGAACTAATCTCAAAATTTGAAATTGCCTTATTCGTCATCTTATAAATATTCATTGGTGTCGGTACATTGTGCTGGATGAGGCTATGGACACTATAAGAGTCCATTCGTATGCAGCGCTACTTAGGCCTAGGTTGATAATGAGGACTGCTTAACTCTCACAGAGATAGCTATTAACTGAACAGCAGCTAATTTGGAGCGACAGTAGTGTCTTACCCAAAAACGATATCGCTGAAAGTTACTAAATGAGATCAATTAGCATGCACAATATACATGCATTACAAGGAGGCGATATAGACCTGCCATGTTCAAGTGCTATGAATTGAAGGATGGAGAGAATGCTTCCGAGGTTTACTTAGAGATTGTTTACCTCTGCATGTGTGGACATTTTTCTATCTTTCTCCAGCTGAGTTTGTTGAGTGAGTTTTATTCTTGCAAATAAATATTTTCGCTATTCATCGTGATTACAGGCACGTTAGTTACTGAGCCACATAAGATCCCAAGAAATTACAATCGAAGATGCTAGGCAATCGCTATAGAGAAAATCGAGAGTGGAACAAAACGTTCAGAAGTGAATGGAGAGCAATCAAAACAATAATACCTTTTGTCGATAAATTTGTCTAGCGCGATGCTTCGCAAAAGCTTGATAAATTTTGAAATAAACGAAGAACATCACAATAGTAGGTATGAAAAATGATCCAGTTGCACTGTAGATGGTGTACGAAGGAAGGTCAAGAAATACGCACTGCCATGTACCATTGATTTGCACCATATTACCACGTTCCGCAATCTGAATAATCAACTGCAGAATTGGTACGCTAAAACTGATTCGAACATGTTAACGTACCTGTTTCCATCCAAGTAAGGGTGCAAGACTGATTAGTGCTGAGGAAATCCACACTGAAAGTATCATGAAACCAGCAGTTCGTTTGTTCCTTTTCGACATATATGATACAGGTGAAGTAATTGCCCAATAGCGATCTAACCCAACTATTGACAAATTCCATATCGATGCTGTTGAACACAGAATATCGGCTAGAAAAAACATTTACCTTGCAGAAGACACTTTTCTATTCATAATCACTCATGAGGTTTTGTTGCTTCGTGTTCTGATTTTGATCACTTCTTTAATATTGGTCCATTTGATTCTAGCTTATTCATGAGATAATATGGGTTAGTAATTGTTTTTTCTTGACGCGAGATTTGCTCGCAGAGTTGACGTTTGACACTGCATTCGATTTTAATTTGGCGTTTTTTCTTGGTATTCGCATTCAAGAAAACTATTTCAACTGTTCAACAGACTTGGAAAAGCGTTGGCTCTTTTTTAGCTCTCTGTGCAAGGAACAGAAAAATGTTGCTTTACCATTGTAGTTAGTTTATGTAACCGCAAATAACTTTTGAGAGTAACGATATAGGGGTAGTACTTACCAGAAACGAAAACGACGCAAAGAGTCGATGTAAACAGCCATTCACCGGCAATCGCATAGACCGACGATAGCGGTAGCACAATAAGCCCAAGGCACAGATCACTGAATGCCAGATTACCAACCTGAAGCATAAAAACTTGATATTTGACATTGAGGGAAAACAAGTAAATTATTTCTTAGCAATTTACAATTTGTTTTCTTCTGTTGACTTTTTTGAGAACAACTTTCAACAAGTAAAAACTTGAGCTGAATAAATTATTTGAATGTAACACGGCGGTAACATTAAAATTCCTTCAACGAGCTCTATAGGGAAACTGCCAACGGACGATTGTCCACCTGGAACAACTGCAAGTGTTCCCAAAGCGCTAGTTGGTAGAGGGCACTGGTCCGGTGGGCAACTGTGGAAGTATCCTTTAAAAAAGTTGAAAACGCACTAATAAATTAGGAACAGTCTGTAGGCGTGGATTTTTGTAAAGCACAATGAAGACGAGTGTGTTAGCCGCAATCGTCCATAGCACGAGTAGCGTAAGAGCGGCCCCTTTGAACGTTTGAAACAGCTCTAGACTTGATTCAACCACAGCATGCATTCTGATGACCATACATTTTGGTTGTTGTAACTTTGATGATGTTTCTTTTCAGAACACTGAAAAAGTTTCCTCTCTTAATTATCATTAGTTAAGCACAAATTTAAGCAACGCACACGAATCAATATAGACGAATCACTACAGCTGCCGGCTCGCATCATCTTCAGCTTCTTAGATTACAATGCCAGTTATAAATAAATTTTATGTTTTTGCAAGGTTTCAGAAAGTCGCTCAATTTAAATCAACAAAATTTGCATGAGAAATTGACGTTCTTTCGTTGTTGCTGTTTATTCATAATACTCACAATAAACCGTTCAGCAAAAATTTTGGTTGCGCGAATTATTTGTTTACGTGATGAAACACTACTAAATTACGGCAAGTTTTCATCTGAGACTGTACAAAACGAATGAATAAAACGGTGCCATGAAAGTTTTATGGATAAACTTTAAGCACAGTTGGATGATCGCTTGTCAAGTGTTTGTGAATTTGTTTGTTTGTTTCAAACAAACAAATTCAAACAAACAATTTGTTTGTTTGAAAAAAGATTTGTCAAGTGCGAATCAATATCAATTTGAAAAAAAAAACGATTTTGAAGCATTACTGAACATTAATTTTTGCATCGAATCAGTTTATGTGATTTTTGAAGCTTTAAGGAATACATGTCCAGTACCAACTCATCTCAAACGGATGTTGAATGCGTTTCACTTGAACACAGATCACCACGAATAGATAGACGCAAGTGATCAATTTCGATAGTTTTCACCTGTCTATATTGCTGAGTAGAGTGTCACAAGTTCACGTTTTGGAAGCATCAAAGGACTCACGAACTTTGCTGAAAGAATTGAAAGGAATCTGACACGTCAATTCTTCGACTCAATTCACTTCAATGAGGCTTGAAAAGTACCAAGCGAGCAACAATAAAGCTGCCTTAATTGCACACAGTGTAAACCTATCGAAATAATACTGAAAAATTCCTTGAACAGGCAATATAAAAATTTTTATTTTGTAATCCAAAAGCCGCACACCCAATTCCGGAAATGGAACGTATTCGAAATTTTCAAAAACTCGATGCCTAGTGTGCCATAAGTGCTAATAACCGCTCATTTCGGTGCATGAATAAGATGTGATCATCTCCTTATTTAATTCAGATCAAATTTTTCAAGTCAATATAAAATTTTCATACCAAAATTTTCAAATGGAAACAATCTCTGCACTAAACACACATATTGAAAAACTTCAACAAAGAATTTGACTTTAATAATAATTGCTTCGTAGTTATAATACCTAGATATTCACTTAATAATAATGCTTCTAATGAAAAAAGATAACATTGATGATGATTATTATTATTAATGTTACTATTAGAGTACAAAATGCTCATTAATACTATGTAAAAATGCATAAAAACTATGCACTAAAGTTATTCTTTGAAATAAATTAGCATTTTAGAAGTAAACAAAGTAGAAATTGTTTCCCAAAAACAATTTTTCAGACCTCGGAAATGAAATTGTTGCTAAAATTATTCCTGTCTTGACATACTCCAAAACTAAAATCTCAAAATATCGCTCTTTCGGAATTCCTGTAATCAGTTATTTTCTGAACCATCTGAAAGTGTACCTAGAAACTCCTTTACCCCAAAAAAATTTCATGAAATTTCACACCTTTCTAAAGAAAGTTTCACTTTAAATTTATTCCTTCATATTGTATTAGTCTTCTTACTTATTCACATTATCACACTTCGGTTTAGCCTTCAAAACTCCCTTCAAAATTCCGCTTCATTCTTTCTTTTGTGAACCTTTCTGCGAATAAAAAAATGAATAAAATTGTTCGTAAGATCACTGGTAGAAATCCTCTCTCTAAAAATCCATCTGAAAAAAAAACCTCGTGAGTCTTTGCTTTCGGAACTTTTTTTGCTGAGAATATTTTTTCTCATGAAATCTTCCTCAATTTTTTTCTCATAAAAAACAGCTAAAACCACTAAACTCTTACAATCACTTCGAAATCTCTCTTAATTTAATAACAAAAGAATTTTTATAAAGCTGTTCGCTCAAAGATCTCACGAAATCTTCCCTTGTGGATCCTTATAGCATCAATTTTTTGCATCTTAATAAATCTTGTAAAAGCTTCCTTTCAAGGTCCTCACAGATCATTTCTTCTAGAAATCATCTAAACCTTATAATCCTCATTAAAACTCTTAAATTTTGTGCTTTCATCCAGGATATACGATATCCTTACGATACTTCTTAGTCACAGGATATAGGCCCACATGATGAGAGTGAGTCTGTGAAAGCACTAGTCCGATAGCGCAAAGTACATTATTAGTGTGAAAGCGCTCAGACGATGTTTTCTTTCCATTCCCTTTCCTGAATCAATTCGCACGAAAAACTACACAGTATCTGCTGCTAGTACCCTTATCCGTTAGGCGTGAACTTTAACATTGCAATAAGAAAATGCAGCAAGATTTCTACATATGGGGAATATTTAGCCAACAATCAAATACACCAATTATCTACACGACGGAAGCAATTATTTGGTCGTGTAATATTCAAATAATGAATCGTTTATTCGGAAACATCATCGAAAACAGCTAATTCTGTCCAGAAAATGCAATATCTCTCATAATCTTGATTAAACATGATTCAGTACAAAATGATGCTGCGTCAGTGACAGACAGATGATGAATATTTTAAACTCAATCCATTTAACAACCGTGAAACGTATCATTGATGTCTTTCGTTTAGTTTCATGCGTTTGTCAGCAATGACAGCAAAATTCATGTAAGTTTCAGTGAGTAGATAATATAGCGTGTTCAAAAAGCTTTGGAACCACGAGACATGCAAATATTTATATTCATTAATTCAACACGATCAATGTCTTAGTGGACTGAAGAGCTTTCAGGGTATCGATACTGCTGAACTGAACGAAAAATACTATGGTGTCAATAGTTTGCGTTTAGTCTATTGCTAGCCTTGTTTTTTTTTGGTTTCTTGATGTGTTTAAAACGCATGCTTAACTCCGCATTATGGAGAAGCTTAAGAAACCTATCACTGAAATATGGCATAAGTTATTAACAAGCCAACAGAAAGCATAAACAATCGATAAAACCCTATAGGCTGTTAAGCTATAGTTAAGTGCAAAGTAGAAGCAGAAAAACCATGTCTCCGCTATATATCAGTCATGTCACCTTACACTGGCTGTTCACGAGAAGGCTGAAATCTCTGATGACAGGAACATCGAATGATCAGCATGATAAATGAGCATTAATTAGAAACGTTATTAGTTTTAGCAGAACTGTCGAACAACTTCCAATTAGAATGCATGATAAGTGCCATTAAAGAGCACGCGAATATACAGTAAGTATTTGCTCTATCTGTATGAGCAAAGTTTATGCTGCAATAGGTGAAGTAATGAAATCTTATAAGTAGCGTTTAGATGCAATTTCAGCATACACCTCTCGCTTACATAGCAAATGCTCTTCGCTTACACATCACGTCGTCTAAAGACGAAATCATTAAAACTAATGCATGTAATCTATAATTTAAATGCTACGATAAGATCACTCGAAAAAATATTGCTTCGAAAAAGCACGTCTCTCCGGCTGAAACGATGTCAAGAAGACCAACAGTTGAACGGTCCGAATCGATGAAGTTAAAAACTAACGAAAAAAACATCGACTGTAAATGTTTAAAATTGCAGTCATCGTCGTCACACAATTGATTTTCACTATTTCAAATCGCAAAATACTGAACATCAAAGACGAATAAGTATCATAGCTATTTTATGATTTATAAGAAAGTTCTGGAAAGTACTGTTCAAAAAATGATAACTAAAAAATTGGTGTAAAGCTAACGAGAACAGACGAACAACTTCCAATTATAATTGTCACTAAAGAGGACCAGCATATACACTATGCATTTACAATATTCGTGTCGTACTTTCTCAAATGTGGGAAATGACAACGGTATAAATCTATTCATTGAAAAAAAAACAAGACCTGATGCGATAAATTAATCATCACACCCTTATAACTTCAAGCAACAATTGAATATCCATCTATGCAGCATCTATTCATCTCATCCTTTTAATTTTAACGCATAGCTATATTCGAGTTTGGTAATCAATTATTTTGCGCTCATATTCTAAAAGTAGCGAAAAATTTTTTAATGAAACAGAATAGTCGTTCGTCGATTAAGATTACTTCTTTTTCTAGTTTTAAACGCGGTGATGTAAAGCGCAACATAGAAAAACAAAACGATAAAAATTATTCTGATTTAAATATGTCAACGTGCTTATTGTGTGACGTTGATGTCAAATTGCTGACGTTTCAGTGATTGAAATTAAATATACTATAATTTGTTTACGAAGTTTGATGATTACACATACATCGATTGTGGATCATTGAGCGAGAGTGACGAACGAATAAAGAAACCAGATAAAAGGGATAAATGTCTATTCCAAAGCAAGATTAGGTCGGGAAAGAAATCAAGTTCAGCGACCGCAGGCTTCTGGGGTTCCGAAATCAAAGAGTATTCCTGAAAGCAGTAGGATGCAAAGTGGGGAATACGAAAAATGATTTCCGATCGTCTAAAAAGACCTCCACTCCTCAAAATGCGGCACTCTTCCGACGATAAATATCTCCTTTCTCCATCCAGCTTTAATAGAGGGTAAGGTCGGAGGCCCCAGAAATCTTGTGGATGCTAGGAGGTCCCAAAAATTTTGTGGATGTTTAGAGTTTCTAGAGACCTTATAGACTCTCGGAGGCCCCCCACCTAGCCCTGTTGCATTCACACTGATGTAGTGTTTCGAGTAGTGTCATCGTTTATCTTTCAGTCAGTACAGGTAAATGATGATCAATAAAGTCACAAAATTCAGTCAATTCATAATTAATAATTAACAAGTAATAATATGGAAATAAAGGGATTATTCGTTTGTGAAACTTATCGTTCTTATCACAATATGTTTTTATTCAATTGTCAACGGATAATTATGAAATTATTTGGAGT